TATGCCCTGGCCTAAGTTAATACATTTTTTTTTTTAAACACCAGGATTAATCCTTTAGGGAAAGGAAAATACTTCCGCAATGGATCCGGCCCGGGAGTAAATGTGTAAATCATCCTGCAATCTCATTCCCCCACCCTCCACGGCCCTTTTGCGCGTCTTTGCAAGGCCCTGGGCTCCAATCACCACTCAGGGGTTCCTGTTGCGCGGGAACTGGGGGACTTGGGAAGGCCAGAGGCGGGCCCAACCCAGGCGTTTATTTTCATCTACTCTCAGGCAGCTCCAGCAGGCCAAGAAATCGGGTCCTGCTTATTGCGGGGCTGTTACCAAAAAAGGCCTTTCTCTCGCTGGAGCGCTTGGCGGCGCGCGTTGCAGCCGGGTGACGCGAGGTTCAACCCCGGCCTCCGGAGCCGGCTGGCTGCAGAGATGCCAGTCCAAGAGCACCCCATCCCTTCTCATCTCTGCCACAAAACGATGGGAGCAGGGAAGGGCAGGAAGGAGATTATAGGGAGTTCTTCGAAGTGCGCAGGCTCCTGGCGATCCTCTCACCGCTAACATGGGGCGGTGGCGCTCTGGAAAGGCCAAGTGGAAAGCTGACCTTTTGCTCCAGTTTAGAGTGGGGTTCTCTGAGACTGCTAGCTCAAAAGGCAAGCTAGCGGGGCTGGGGATGTGGCTCAAGTGGTAGCGCGCTCGCCTGGCATGTGTGCGGCCTGGGTTCGATCCTCAGCACCACATACAAAGATGTTGTGTCCGCCAAAAACTAAAAAATAAATATTAAAAAATTCTCTCTCTCTCCCCTCTCTCTCTCTCTTAAAAAAAAAAAAAGGCAAGCTAGCAGAGACAGCTACAGCGGGAAGGAACTTTGGGGAGACAGTGCAGGCGTTTTGTGCCAAGCTATGCTAGTCTTTTCACCCAGAGCATCTCTGCATATCTTAGGTTGAGCCCACCCCTACTTGCCACCTCCCCAGTTCGTTTCCTTCTTACCTGCCATGTGCAAATCGAAGGGGGAAAATACATCTCCAAAACATTGGAGTTCTTGCCTTTCACAATCTGACACATTTCCAAAAAGGACCCTTTCATTCAAGCAATTAGGAAGTAATTTATCACCATAAAAGATAGTGGTTCTTTTTTTTGGGGGGGGGCGGGGAGTGGCAGGCATGGAAAAAGCTAGTTTTTGTTGTTGTTGTTTATTGTTTTGTCTTTGTGCTAGGTATTGAACCCAGGGTCTCTTAAAAACTGAGCCACATCCGCAGACCTTTTTATTGTTTGAGACAGGGTCTCCCTAAGTTGCTTGGGGCTTCCCCGAATTGCTGAGTGGAGCTGAGAGTTCAAACTTATGATCTTCCTGTGTCAACTTCCCAAATTGCTGGCTGGGATTATAGGCCCAGGTGACCAAACCAGGTGAGAGATGTGCTCTTTAAATAAAAGGATTAAGAGACCATATTGGAAGTTTGTGTAAATGCACGCTGATTTCTAACTTAGTATGTCTGAGTTATGGTGTGTTTGTGTGTGTGTGTGTATCCTTTAGTAACAGTGAAGACTGAGACAGGGAGATGGAGACATATGTGTGTGCATACCAAACATAACACTATGACATAGGATCCAACTTCCTTTCTCTAGCTGCCTGGCTGGAGGGTTGTGGCTAAGTTGCTGTTTCTTCAGTATTTTTGGTTCAATGAAGGGAAGGGCTGAATAAATAATGTAAAGAAATGGGTCAACCAGTTAAGCCAAAGCTAAGGAACCTCAGGCTGGCAGGGAATGTCAAGCCATTTCCTAGCCCTATGTTTTGACTCACTCCAGGATACTGAGTGTGATGTGGGGAGGGCAGAAGTCTGGGAGATGAGGCAATGCTCTCGGAGCAGCTCTCTGCAAAGGAATCATTGCTCTGAGCCAGCCGGCCAAGCAAAGTTTATTATTGCTCTGGAGTGCATAGTGAGCACACTGTTTTGCAAAAACAGAAATCTGGCTGCTCTAAAATGAAAGGGGGGGGCTCCCTTAGGGCTCTTGCTTCCCCCTTTCTCCCTATCCTTAGAAACTCCCCTTTCATTTGCACCTGGGGCCCCAGAATAAGTGCAAGATCTGGGTGCTAGTAGTGGCAGACAGGGGAAGGTTCTGGAAATTGGGTGTCAAAAATAAATATTTCTTGATTCAACTGAACTTTATTACAGTAATAGTAATGGTAGTGATAAGAATAATGACCCTTATGTTTTAAGCACTTTTACAAAGTACTTTTTACCTGTTAGCCAGCAACAGTACCAATACCGATAATAACCAACACTTGCTGGCAGCTTCCTGAGCGACCCACACTGTGCTCTATATACTGTATGTTGTATTTATGTTACAGTCTGTAGCAGTAGCAGATCCACAACTTCTGTATATGGAAGAATTCCTTGGCACAATCTTGGAAGGGGAGGCTGGGGGTTGGTTGTGAAGGCGCATTTGCATAGCACTTTACATAGGATTATATATAATAAAGAATGGGGCACTGATGGGAATTTTGAGTATCCCAAATCACCTCTGGAAGCCTAAGCTTGTGAAAGCCACCTCTCAAAAACAGATTTACTGGCTCAGATCCTAGCTGTAGCTCCAAATGTTGTAGGCACATTATTTAACCTCTTTACTTACCTGGACTGTAAAATGGAGTCAACAGAATCAACCTTGCAAATAATGATAAGGGTTTAATATAGATAATACACAATAATGTAAGTATAATATTAAGGTTGATGCAGATAAGCTGTTTTATACAGTATCTGATCTTACTAAACCTCAGTAAGAGTTACTTCTTACTATAAAACAAATTAAAATCTCAATCCTAACAAGTTAGAAGCTATTGTTCCATTTTACAGAAAGACAACAGAAGTTATGTAAATAACTAGCTCAAGAATGCAAAGGAAATTCCAACCCTGGGCAGAATCCAATTCCATTACATGGCCTTCCTTCCTCAAGGATTATCTCAATTATCTTGAGGGGGTGGGGGGAAGGCAAACCTAATAAACAGAAGAATCAGTTGAAATGCCCCAATCAGAGATAGGACCAACACATCTGTTCTACAATGAGCAATGATGAACAGTAATCTTGTAAGGTAAAAAGAAATCCTGGCCTTGCCCAGCGTTCTGGAGCAATAAGGAATAAAATCAGGGCACGTGAGAAAGAACTTTGAAAACTGTGGCTGCACTGTACAAAAAGCTATCAGAATTACTAAATGCTACCCCCACCTTCTTTTAATGAATCTAGAAAAACCACTCACCTGTTTGGCCTTTCCAGCACCTCCCCTTCCCTGCCCTCAACTGCAGCTGTGCGCAGCCAGTTGACTGTTTTCTTTAAAGGCCTCCGGGTGCTCAGAGCTTCTTTAGACGTTCAGCCAAAATTTTTAGAGTTCGGTTAGCGGGAGAGGGAACTCACCCTGAATTCATTTAGCGCCATCATTGAACCTCGGGTTCCTAGACCAGGGCACAAAAACAGATCTGAAATGGTTTCAGGATATTGGAAAACAGCTAATTTTGCAGGTGCTTCGACATCAATGTGGCAAGGAGTAACATCCATGAGGGACGGGCGGGGGGGGG